TCAGAAGGAAGGAAGGAGGGAAGCAAGGAAGGAGGGGAGGAAGGAAGGAGGGGAGGGAGGGAGGAAGGAAGAAGGGAAGAAAGCTAAGAAGACAGGTGGGAAGGATGGAAAGATACAGTACAAAGAAAGATCACAGATTTCCTTTAACAGACAAAATAGTTGTTGTGGAGAGAGCCCCAAACTTGGCGTCCAGAGCCCTGGGTACCACCCCTCCCTTCTTGTGTCTCAGTTTCCACATCTGGACAAGGCAGGTGATGGTGGGCAAACTGGAGGAGCTGGTCTTCAAATCACTCTCGGCCATCAGGGGTGCCGGAGTGCCGGCACGTGCCAGATCCGTGCTGGGTGCCGGGGACGTGGCGGCCAACGGGACCAGCCCAGTCCCTGCTCGGGACAGCAGAACCTCAGGGAGAGCCGAGGCCAGGACTGCCCCGGGACGCTCAGACCTCCGCTGGAAATCCACGGGCTGTGCGATGTGGGCGCGCCGGGGCCTCCCGGGCGGCAGGAACAGAGAGGGGCTTGTTGCCTGGAGGAGCCTCACCTCCGCCCAACTGTATTTCTTGGCCCACCTACATGCTCGCCTCCACCCTGGCTCCCTGCTTTGGAGAGCTCCTCAGAGCCCGCCGGGCCCCTTGCCTCCCACTTCCAGGGGCAAGATTTGGCTGGGAATACCGTGGCCCACCGCCCACTCTTCCGGCCGGCCCCCGGGAGACCCACCTCCCAGCTCCCTCCCTGTTGTGCCGTTTGGCAGCGTGGTTGTGGGAGCTTGGCCTGTGGTCCTCAGCTTGCTCAACGAGTTCCAGGCATCATAATTTGTAATCCTAACAGCTACCGCCTACCGGGCGTTAGCGTATACAAGCCCCCAGCAACCCATTTCCCTGATGTGCAAACTGAGGTTCAGAGAGGCATGGTCATGGAAGCCACGAAGCTCCTGAGTGGCAGCTCTGACATTCACCGCCAGGCCGGTCTGACGTCAGAGCCCGGGAAATAGGAGACTCATAAGGGTGAGCACCGCTGGGCACGCACCGGACCTGGCACGAGGCTCTCTGGCATAGTTTGCATTCGACGGGACCCGGAACCGGGGTCCCTGAGCTCTGGGCCCAGATCTCAGGCACCAGAGTGGGGGTACCTTTGGTATACTTCCCCCAAACCCCCCTAGGGATGACGATGACAATTCAGACACCACTCAGGGAGCGTGCGGTGTTAGGAGGTCCGGAGAGGTGTTTATTTCCTCCTCTCTGTGCATCAGGCTTAAAGGTGCCGCTGCATATGGCAAGACACGGCCCCCCGGGAAACCACCATCTGCCCAGAATGAGTGGGGACAGTTGGCATGCCACCATCCCTCCCGCCCACACGGCCACCAAGGCTGGTGGGCCCAACACACTTTCCTCTGGGCACCTGTTCCGTCCTCCCTCAGGCTAACCAGAAGCTGGGTGGGCGGCGCAGGGGCGGCACTGGCTGGAGGCTGGATCAGCCCCAACTCCCCAGTGGGGAGGTGACAGGGGACACTTAGAGCGCTGGCGGACAGTGTGTCCGGGTGAAAGGCCGGAGCTGAGGAGCTGCTAGGTCTGAGCTATGCTGCCTCCTTTGAGTGTTGCCTGAGCACCTACTGTGTGCTGAGCCTGGGCCTGGCACAGGAATCCGGCCAGGAGAGAGGCACTCAGGGTCTGGACGCAGGAACCGGCAGGTGCCCCTCTCTGACCGTCCGGGGCATGGGGCTGAGAAACAGGCCTTGGGCCCCATCTCAGCCGCCTCCCCCATCACTCCGGCCTCACGGCTCCCTGCCCCGCCCTCTGGGCAGTGACAGGGGAACGAGATGTTCTCTGAAAGCTTCTCCTGCTCGATGTCTGTTTTTTCCATCCACCGTCCGTGGTCAGTATCCTGAGCTCCAATTCGGTGCCAGAGAAGACGAGACAGAGGGTTCCTCGGGGTACTGGACCCCTTGCTGACAGTCCCCCTGGGGAGGAGGCTGTGAACAGGGGGCTGTCTCGGCAGGCCCCTCCCGCCGCTGAGCGCCTCCCGGGTACCCGGCACTGCCTGAGCTCCTTCCGTGGAAAGGCTCCGTGCATCCTCCTGCAGCCACACGAGGTAGCACGTGACCCCCGGTTTAGATGATGCCGGGTCACAGCTGAGGACCTGAGAGCCAGAGAGTGGAGCCACTTGCCCCCGGGGCACCAAGCTGGGGAATGGCCGAGGTGAAATTCGAACCCAGAGCCTCTGCCCGGCACTGATTCCTAACCACTGAGCCAGTGAACCTTGAACTTGAAAGGGAACATGAAAATCATGTGGGGATTGTGTGTAAAACCCAGATTTCCTCCTCCCCTCCCCCGCACCCGACCGCACAAAATCTGAGCCCTGCATGTCTGAGGAATGTGCGTGTTAATTCTGATTCCCTTAGAGAGCCTGGGCCATGGCAGAGATGGGGCCCCTCCCCGCCCGGGCACCCCGGTCCCCACCCTGGCCCTGCTGGTCTGCCAAGGGGCTTGGCTCCCGTGCGTGGCCCTGCCCTCTAATCTCCTGCTTCCTATAAGCTGCTTGTCCTTTAAGCAGCCCTGGAGAACCAGTGACCTGGGACAGGCCGGCCCAGACCCCTGAGCATCCCCTTCAGCCTGGTCCTGGGCTCCACACACCCTCGGTGTGGCTTTTCTCAGCCCTCTCCCCCCTGCCAGGGCTAGTGGCCCGTCTGCGAGGGGGGAGGCCTCTCAGGGACGCGCTCCAGGGAAAGTCCATGTCTCTGCGCAGGGGGTTCTCTGTGGGGAGTCCCATCCTTCCCAGCCCCTCCTAAAGTTCCCATGGCAACCACTGTTGCCATGGCATTGCTGGGGCAGACTAATGGGGAAGAGGGTGGACCTCAGACCCACCCCCATACCCACCCTAAGCTCTGTGAAAGCAGGTGTCCTATCTCCACACTGCTGGGAGATCCCAAATACTAGGGAGTCGCCTCCCAAAGGAGTCGGTAAGGGATGGGAGAGACGGAGGCAGGAAGCGCCCCCGTCCCCCACCCCCCCACCCCAGTTAACCACCTTCTCTGTGCCGCCTGGCGTGTCTCCCTCCCAGCACATGTCACACTGCATTGCATTATCTGTGTATTTGTCTGTCTCTCCCACCGCACCGCGAGCTCCTCCGAGTGGGAACTGTCTGACTCATCATCTCCCATCGCCAGGGCCCGGCGCGGGGCCTGGCGCAGAGCAGCTGCGCCCAAATATGTCCTAGACAGAATGTAATTGAATTACATAAAGAGCCGCGTCTGGCTTCTCCAGTTTAGTGAGCGGCAGGGTTTGCCGGGGACGTCCCCAGGCCCTGGGGTCCCGCAGACCCCTGGGTGTGGACCCTAGCCCTGCCACCCCTAACCGGGGGACCTTGGATAAGTCACTGCCCCTCTCCCAGCCTCAGCCGCCTTGTCGGTGAAATGGTGATTCCCATGCCAGAGCACTGTTTTGAGGACTCGGGGGCTCAGGCAACATTTATTAAGGACCTCCTGTGTGCTAAGCCTTGTGCCGGGCACTGGGGTACAGTGGGGGACACGCCAGCAGCATGCAAGCCCTGCCCTCCGAAGCTCACGGTCTTGCAAAAGCAAAAAGTACGTGCCCAGCATCTAGAAAGATGAATAAACTCAGGATTCCTCATCCTGCTCCTTCCCCACTGAAGCAGCTGGCTCCTCCCCAGTAGCCTCTGATCTCCCCAAAGGAGGGGCAGAGTGAGGACAAGAGAGAGAGGGGGCCTCCCCAGGGCTCCAAAAGGAGACCTTGACCCCAGGAACCCAGGACTCTCTGTCCCCAACCGTGGCGTGCAGGCAGCTATGGGTGTCCAGGTCAGGCTCTGAGCTAGGAGGGCAGGAGACTGGGGTTCTTGCTCTGGCCCTGTCCCAGCCCTGTGTGACCCTGAGTACGTCTTTCTCCTTCCTGGGCCTCTATGTGCCGCTCCACAAATGAGGCGGCTGAGCAGCCTGCTCCCCGCTTTCCGAGCCCTGGGCACCCCATGACCATGGGTTCCAACGGCTCGATCCGGGGGAGGCCTCCACCCTCATGCTCGTGCCAGCCGGGGTGGGGCCGCAGGGTGCAGGGCGGGGGGGGGGGAGGAGAAGAGCTGACAGGACAGAGTGAATTCGCACCCCCGAAAGTTAGCCCGAAGGCCTGCTGGGGTCGGCATCAGCGCAGGCACGTGTCTGCGGTACAGACATCAGGCCTGGGGGGCGTGATTTGGGGACCCCTCGGTCCAGTTCTTATAGGGAGCCACGTTTCCATGGGGCTGAAGGCCAGGGTGCTGTCCCCGCAGAGTCGAACAGAGCCGGGCCCGGGGTCCGCTCCGTCAGACGCTGGCTGTGCAGCCGGAACATCTGAGCATCTCGGAGCCTCAGGTTCCTCACCTGTGCATGAGGGTAACCACAGCGCCTGCCTCACGCGGCTCTTGTGTGGAATCCACGAGATATTGCCCACAAAATCCTGGCATGCAGTAGGCACTTAGGAAGCATGAGTCCTTTCCTTCCCTCCCTCTTCCCCCCGCCCCCCTCATCCCCAGCCCCAGCCAGATGGCTCTGGGAAGGGGAAGTGGTCTGCTGCCCCTGCCCACAGCGGAAGGGAGGGGAGGGGGTGCGGCTCCGTTTCCTTGGGATCCGCTCTGTGACCTCGGGACTCTTGTGCGTGCGGGGCACCCCATGCCCTGGTTTCTTCTGGGCTGAATGGCAGTGACTGGGTTGGGGCGGGGACTTCCTGTTGGCTCAGAACCAACACGAGGCAGACCCGAGGCGGGCCTGGGGACTTGGTCTGGTCTCCTGGACTTAGCTCAGATGCATGACCCAGAGAACTCAGAGGGGCTTTTTTCCACCTTCCTTAGCTGCGGTCAGCCCTCAGTGACCGGAAGCCCTTGGGCCAAGGTGCCGGGGGGCGGGGGCGGGGGGGGCACTTCGGGGGCGGTTTGGAGCTCCTAGCGGCAGGACAGGTGCTGCTGGGACAGAGGGAGCCTCCTGCGTCCTTGACCCTCCTCTCACCTGCAATTCACTGCAGGGACTTCCTGCCCCGAGGATCTGGCATCGTCACCAGACGCCCCCTGGTCCTGCAGCTGGTCAATGCCACCACAGGTACGCGCCCTCCTCGGCCAGGCTGGCCTCTCCAGCCTCCCACCCTACCCTCAAGGAGAGGTCCAGCACAGCGGCTGAACTAGGTGCTGTATGACTTGGCGGGGGCGGGGCTCCCCCTCTCTGGGCCTCATCCCATCTGGACAGTGAGGATAAAAATGCATAACGGAGAGGTGGGGAGGGAGGAGAAGGCAGTGTTTGGGCTGGGGTGCTATTCCCGGCGGCAGATGGGGCCCAGGTGGGTTCTGGGCTATGATGCTTACTCCCCCTCCTCCTCCCCAACACCTTCACCCCACGCTTTCGGAGCAGAATATGCCGAGTTCCTGCACTGCAAGGGGAAGAAATTCACCGACTTCGAGGAGGTGCGTCTGGAGATCGAGGCTGAGACCGACCGGGTCACAGGCACCAACAAAGGCATCTCGCCGGTGCCCATCAACCTCCGCGTCTACTCGCCGCACGGTGAGAAAACCTGGCGGCCTTCCGCGCCTCTGGGCTCCCTGGCTCAGCCCGGCCCCTGAGGACTATTTTCTTGGCTCCACCCCTTTCCTAGCTCCGCCCTTCAGCCGAGTCCGCCACCACAGGGACCTCCTTGCTCTGAGAGCGTCCCACCCCAAGCCTCCCCTTGCCGGGACCCCGCCCAGCCCTGGGCACGCCTTCAGCGGGCCTCACTGGAGCTCTGGGCCTTTCCCAACCCCGCCCACCTGCGGCCGCGCTCCCTAGGGGGTCCTCCGTGAACCTTGCTCCTAAATCCGCCCACCTACTGCCCAGCCACTCACCTTGAGCCCGCCCTCTATCCGCCCCGTCCAGTGCTGAACCTGACCCTGGTGGACTTGCCCGGAATGACCAAGGTCCCGGTGGGAGACCAACCTCCCGACATCGAGTTTCAGATCCGGGACATGCTCATGCAGTTCGTCACCAAGGAGAACTGCCTCATCCTGGCCGTGTCCCCGGCCAATTCCGACCTGGCCAACTCCGATGCCCTCAAGATCGCCAAGGAGGTGGACCCTCAGGGTAAGTTCCCACCCAAAGCCGGCGACAGCGCGAGCCCCGGAGACCTTTTATTCACAGGGTAAGGGAGAGCCGCTGGAGGGTGGGATCCGACCTATGCCTTTAAAAATCACCTTGGCCCCGACCGGACGGCTCCTCCGCTGGTGCAGCGTCACCCGGCACAGCGAAAGGTCGCCGGCTGGATTCCAGTCGGGGCACACGCCCGAGTTGTGGGCCGGGTCCCCTGTTGGGGCGAGTGCGAGAGGCAACCCATCCAGTGTTTCTCTCACGCATGGATGATTCTCTCTCTTTCTCCCCTCCTTCCCCTCTCTCTAAAAATAAATACAGCCTGGCTGGCTTAGCTCAGTGGATTGAGCGCGGGCTGCGAACTAAAGTGTCGCAGGTTCGATTCCCAGTCAGGGCACATGCCTGGGTTGCAGGCCATGAGCCCCAGCAACCGCACATTGATGTTTCTCTCTCTCTCTCTCTCTATCTATCTCCCTCCCTTCCCTCTCTAAAAATAAATAAATAAAATCTTTTAAAAAATAAAAATAAATACAGAAAATCTTTCAGGGAAAAAATGTTAAAAAAACACTTTGGCCGCTCTGCGGAGAAGGAATGGGTCAGGCAGGCGGCGGGCGATGCGGGGGAGGGGAGATGGGGCGGCCGGGTGGCGGCGGGAGCGCGCGGGCCACCTCCCTCACTGCCGCCCTCCAGGTCAGCGCACGATCGGCGTCATCACCAAGCTGGACCTGATGGACGAGGGCACGGACGCCCGCGACGTTCTGGAGAACAAGCTGCTGCCCCTGCGCAGAGGTAGTCAGGCCGCTCCCGCCGCCCGCTGCGCTGCCCTTCCCCTCTACCCCGCCCCCTGCAAGGGGTTGACCCTGACCTTGACCCCATCCACAGGCTACATCGGGGTGGTGAACCGGAGCCAGAAGGACATCGATGGCAAAAAGGACATCACGGCTGCCCTGGCCGCCGAACGCAAGTTCTTCCTGTCCCACCCATCCTACCGACACTTGGCTGACCGGATGGGCACACCCTACCTGCAGAAGGTCCTCAACCAGGTAGGACTTGGGCCTGCACGAGAACAGAATCCTTGAAGTGGGGTTTGTGAGGGCGACCAGCCGCCATCAGCAGCATGAACTATTCCCTGCCTGGGGCCTGGGGGAGGGGAGCCCTGGAACCCCCCAGGGTGAAGAGAAGACGGGGCGGGGGGGGGGGGGGCGTCTAGTGTGGAGGGCAGCACAGGCAGGGGCTGGGGCTTGGAGGCCAGGACTGGCCTGTTTCGGCCGAAGACCGGGGTTCCTCCGGAAGTGGGGAGGGGCCGATCTGGAGCAGGGGCGGCGAGCCCAGCAGCTCCCCCAGGGTGTGCCTCCATCTGCACTGGGGCTTCAGAAATCCAGGCGTGCGTGTGTGAGATGAGGGAAGGAAGGCGATAGGGAACTTGGTGTGGCGTGGAACAGGATTTGGGAGTTGTAAGGCCACGGACCTGGTTCCAATCCTGACTCTGTCACTCACGGGCTGGGACAGTGAGTGTCCAGCTCTCTGAGCCTCTGTCCCTGCGTCTGTACAACGGTGACAGTGGCGATAAGGCCCCGTTTCGCCGGCCGGGCAGGTTCCGGGGGATTCTGTGCTGGAGGACCTGGCCAGAGTGAACCGTGGGGCTCCAGCAGGAGGCAGCCAGCCTGCCTGCCAGTCAGCCCCGCCCCCGATGTATTTCGTGCCCGATGTATTTCGTGCCCCCCTTGTGGTGTCTAAAAATAGTAGTCAAAAGTCAGGTAATTTCAAATCAAAATCTAGATTCCTGGCCTCTTTGAAAATTGAGTTATTCACTCATTAATTCAATTAATTTACCTGTGTGAGGACCTACTGTGTGCCAGGCCCAGCCCTCAGGCAGCTTTTGTTCTGGGGGACAGGGCCTCAGTGGGCAGGGCTGTGGCCCCCTCTTTAGCTCTCCCGCTCAGCGGTCCACAGCCTCCCTGGCATCCTTGGTCCTTGCCTGGCCCTGCGGGCATTCGGGGTTTGGGACTTGTGACCGGGGGCCTTAACCCTTGTCTGGCCCCACCCCCAGCAACTGACCAACCACATCCGGGACACGCTGCCGGGGCTGCGGAACAAGCTGCAGAGCCAGTTGCTGTCCATTGAGAAGGAGGTGGAGGAGTACAAGAACTTCCGTCCTGACGACCCGGCTCGCAAGACCAAGGCCCTGCTGCAGTGAGGGTCCCCCCAGCTCTCGACTCCCCATCCCTGAGCTGCGCCTTCCCCCAGCCTCTGGGCCCAGGGCTCTCCCAGGTCCCCCCCACTGGGCCGCCGCAACCCTCAGGCCACGCCCCTCTACCCCCAGGATGGTCCAGCAGTTCGCCGTGGACTTTGAGAAGCGCATCGAGGGCTCGGGGGACCAGATCGACACCTACGAACTGTCGGGGGGAGCCCGCATCAACCGCATCTTCCACGAGCGCTTCCCCTTTGAGCTGGTCAAGGTAGGACACGCTCGGCTGGGGGGGGGGTAGGAGGGCCCTGGACCACCCACCCGCACCCCCAGGGCTCTCTCATGCGTACCTTGGCCCCTGCGCCCAGACCCCAGGAGTGGGGTGGGCCCCATCGTGACCTCCCAGAGAGCAGGCCAGGCCCTGACGGGCTGGCCATCTCTCCCTCTCCTACACAGATGGAGTTCGACGAGAAGGAGCTCCGAAGGGAGATCAGCTATGCCATTAAGAATATCCATGGCATCAGGCACGTATTGGGACCGGGGCGGGGGCCCAGCCGCAGAGGGCAGGGGTCTAGTGCAGAGGCACAGGGAGTGGAGGAGCAAGCCTCCCTCAGGGAAGACCTAGAGCCCTCGTCCCCAGCCCCCTTCACCCCGACTTTCTGGCCCCCAGTTCGCACAGGCTCCTGCTGGGGAAGGTGGACGGGAGACCCGAGCTACCCCCCTCCCTGCAGCCTGCTGCCCTCCTTTGCTGTCCTGGGATCAGGGCCTGGAGGCTGGGCGGGCTGGTGGACACAGGTGGCCAGGTAGCGCCCGCTGGGCGTGGGCACCCTGCCCATCTCTAGGGTGAGACAGCTCCCCCAGTTCTATCCAGGTGGCTGCACAAAGCTGTCCCAGCCCCTGGGTAGGGCCTGGGGCGGGGCATCGTATCGGTCTGTGCCCTTTTACGATGGGATGGGGCCTCTCCACCCTCCAGACCCCCAGGCCCTCCACAGCCCCAGGGTCCCTAAGTGGGCCCATCCCACCGCACTCCTCACTGCCCGAGCCAGCCCCAACGCCTGTGGAGCAGGGAAGGGGACTGAGAACCAGACTGTTCCCTAAAAGCTGAGGCCTACCTCAGGGACTCAGACCCACACCCCGTGTTCTTGCGGCGGGAAAACTTAGAGCGCCCGCTCCGTGCCGGGCAGCGAACCAGACCAGAGCGCCCCTGCCCTCACGCAGCTTCCTGTCCAAGGTCTGGCGTGGAGTTCCTAGACTGATACCTGCGCTGGCCAAGGCACAGGGAGGAAAACAGCCTCTCCTGCTCTTAAAAGAAAATGCTTTATTCCTGGAAAGGCTCCCAAAGAGATCCCAGTGCAGCAGCTTTCAAACCGTGCCTGGCCCTAGAACCTTTAGCATGAACTGGGTCTTAAGAGGAAGTTAAGACGTGAAAGCAGATACAAGCAGATCTTGTCTTGGCCCGAAGAGCAGCGATTGGAAGTCCTTCCTTATCCTTAGAGTCCCTGCCCATTTTACAGATGGGGACCCTGAAGCCCACAGAGGGGTAGCGGGACAGCCCCGAGGGCAGAGCTCAGGGGTGTGGGGGGGGCGGGGGGCCCTGGCCTGTGACACTGCCCTTCTTCCGCTCCGGGCGTTCAGAACGGGGCTCTTTACCCCAGACATGGCCTTTGAGACCATTGTGAAAAAGCAGGTGAAGAAGACCCGAGAGCCGTGTCTCAAGTGTGTGGACATGGTTATCTCGGAGCTAATCAGCACCGTTAGACAGTGCTCCAAGAAGGTAACCCGGCGGCCCGCCGGCCCGCACCTCTGCCCGCCCCCCGCACTGCTGACAGGCGCCCCTCCCCAACGCCCCCCACCGTCTCCCCGGTAGCATGTCCAGACCTCAGCGGGGTGGGAGAGGCAGGCCACCGCGGACGAGGACAGGGGGAATCTCCGAGGAGGCCTCACCCACCCCCCTGGCCCCCGGGCCCAGGACACCAAGGGACTAGAGGCTGGTAAGACAGGGATGCTGGCGGCTGTTTAACCCGGAGAGCCCGCCAAGAGCTCCCCCTGCTCGGGGAGAGTAGGGCTTGAGGTGGCCCTGAGCCCCCGCTCCGCCCTCAGACATGGGTCCTTCTGGGGACTCCAGGGAGAGGTCTCGGGGAAGCCTTGGCCCTGGAGACAGGTGAGGGACAGGACCTTCTTGGGTGCTGCTCTAGGGGCCTGGACGGCCAAAGAGGTGCAGAGGACCCAGGTCCAGCAGGTACCCTGACCCCTCGCTGTCCTTCATCCTCCCTGTTCTCATGCCGCCCTCACCGAGGACCCCCACTCGGGGCCCTCCCCCTCCCTTTCATCTGCATCTCCTTCCAAAGACAGAGCCCCCTTCCCTCTGCTCTGCCTTCTGAGCCTCGGGGAACCCCGCAAGGAGGGCAGGGCAGGGCAGGGCAGGGAGGATGGCGCCTGTTGCACGGCAGGAAAACTGAGGCTCAGGAGATCGAGTGACTTGTCCAAGGTCATGTGAGCTAGGAGGTGGCAGAGCTGCTCCTGGAAGCCAAGGCTTTGGACTCCGAGTCCAGTGCCCATTTGATTCCGCACCCCCCCCAGCCTCCCTTCCTTTCCTACCCCCACTGCTGCCCTGGCCCCTCTCTATCACCCCCTCCACTCTTTCTGTCTTTCCTCTTCTCTCTCTTCTGTCTTTCCGAACCGAGTTCCTCCAGCCCTCTTTGGAGGAGAGGCAAAGGATGCCCCTTGAGGAGAAAGCAAAGGGCAGGAGAAGAGCAGGGCGCTGGAGAGCGGCGGTCAGGCAGCTACCCTGCAGCTGCAGGGGCGCCCTGCGCACCGTGGTCTGTGCGCATGGAGCCCCCTGCAGCTGTGCCGCGCACCCGCTGGGCAGCCGGGTGCAGCGATCCCGGCAGAAGCAGGGAACTGCGCTGGGCTCTGGAGTCGGGGTGAAGGGAACGCAAGAGGTGCCGGGAAACCTAGAATTGACCAGAATGGGCGGGTGGTGTTCTGGCCTGGGGCAGCCCCTTGGGAGGACCCACGGCTGTGACATTGGAAGAGACAGAGAGAGGGCAGGCTCAGGGTAGCTGGGGAGGGAGGGGCCAAGCCCTGGCGGGAAAACCTGAACCCAGTGAGGGGCCTCGTGCGGAGCAGGGCGTTTGGTCCTTCAGCAGCACCCTCGCCCGCACCCACAGAACCTGGGGGGTGCTCGGCAGCACCCGGGAGGTGCCGGCCCCGGGTGGTGGGAGGGAGGCCGGCCCCACGCTCACATTGTCTTCTGTTCTCTCTCTGTCTCTCTCTGTGTCGGTGTCTCTCTCTCTTCCCCCACGCCTGTGCCATCCTCCACCCCGCCCCTGGCCCTGCTTGGCTTTCACTCCCCTCCTTGTCCCCGCCCGCCTGTGGCTACTCCTCCTCTTGTCCCCTCCTCCTCCCTGGGTGCAGGACGGGCCTCTTCACACCTGACCTCGCTTTTGAAGCCACAGTGAAAAAGCAGGTGCAGAAGCTCAAAGAGCCCAGTATCAAGTGTGTGGATATGGTAGTCAGTGAGCTCACGTCTACCATCAGAAAGTGTAGTGAAAAGGTACGGCGGCCGCCTGGGTGGGGCTGGGCCTGGCCATCCCTCCCGCGCGGCCACGGCCTCCCGTGGGCAGAGCTGTCTGCTGAGCAGGCCTGGCAGCCCCTCGTCCACCCACGTGGACGCCCACGCTGGCCAGGCGATTCCCAGCCCTGAACTTCCCTGCCAATGTGTAACCCTGGGTCTACTTGCACTCACAGTCCCCTCTGGCCTCCGTGTCTGCCAGAAGGCTTTGCTCCAACCCAAGCATCCTCGGAGCCGTGGCCCCTCCCACCAGTAACAGTGACAGTGACAGTGACGACAGTGAGGATGAGGGGCAGGCTGCTCCTACATGCCGAGCACTAGGCTAAGTGCTCGTCTTTGTAATCTGACTTAGCAACCTTAAAAAGCGGTGGTGTTATCCCCATTTTACAGATGACAAAACTGAGTCTCAGGGAAGAAGAGCAGAGTGGATTTTAGATTAGGGAGGCTAAGGGAAGACATCTGGGACCAGGGCCCCCCAGGTGGGGAAGCTGTCCCTGTCCCGCAGAACCAATTTGCCTAAAAGCGTATTGGACTGCTCATCTGACATGAATCCATACGCGCTGGGCGGGCTCGGCCCCTTTTCGAGACATCTGTGACCTTTTAGATGCCTTTTTCCCACTCGTCTACTTTTGGGCATTTTGAAGATTTTTAGCCAGGTTGTCTGAAGCAGTTCTCCCCAGGGCAGTCCAGGGGCATCAGTGGCCTGAGGCATCCTTTCTGGACTTCAAAGGCTGCCACCGCCCCCCAACCCCGGTCCCAGCAGGAGGAACCAGGATCTCTGGGGAAGAGCCCAGCCTCGCCTGCACTTGAAAAAAACCCCTCCACTGGAGAGGTGCGGGCACACCTGCCTTTACTTCCAAAGTGTCAGTGTCCGTGGCTCATGCACAGCCAGTCACGTGCACCCCTTTCCCGATGCTGTCTCCCTTGTGCCCGCTTGTGCGCCCAACAGGGATGGGCTGAGCCAATTAGCATCCGCTCGGTGCCCATCCCGAGCAGCATAGAAGCCGGGCTGGGCTCCCCCATTCATTCCCCAGCGTTGTGACCCCTGAGTCGTGATCCCTCTGCCCCGCGGATCGTAGGCAAGGTTGCCCTGCGAAAAGTGTTCATCACTTTAGATTTCTCCAAATCTTTTTTTCTATACATAGATTTGTTTGTTTTGTTATGGGATCACACTATGAATGTATTGCCATCCTGCTTTTTAAAAAATCCCTTTTAAAAGATTTTATTTAGTTATTTTTAGAGAGGGCAGGGGAGAAAGAGAGGGACGGAAACAATGTGTGGTTGACTCTTGAGTGCCGCACACTGGGGACCGGACCCACACTCCAGGGTTGTGCCCTGACTGGGAATTGAACTGGCGACCCTTTGTTTCACAACCTGCACTCAGTCTACTGAGCCACACCAGCCAGAGCTCATCCTGCTTTTTCTCTTAAAAACATGAATTTCAATTTTTCTCTTTTTTTGTTAATTACAGTTGGCATTCAGTATTATTTTATATTAGTTTCAGATGTACAGCATAGTGGTTAGACATTTATATAATTTAATGTAAATTGTAAACTTTTGGAAACAGCCCATGTGTCCACTGAGAGGAGACCGATTACATAAAACATTACACAGACAATTTTTTATCTTTTTAAAAAGATTTTATTTATTTATTTTTAAGAGGGAAAGGAGGGAGAAAGAGAGAGAAACATCAATGTGCAGTTGCTGGGGGCCGTGGCCTGCAACCCAGGCATGTGCCCTGACTGGGAATCGAACCTGCGATGCTTTGGTTCGCAGCCCGCGCTCAATCCACTGAGCTACGCCAGCCAGGTACACAGACAATTTAAACCAACACAGTCGTACCTTGGAGATGTCATGGCTTTGATTCCAGACCTCTGCTGGGAAAGGAATCACGATAAAGCAAGTCACACAATTTTTTTTTTTTTTGGTTTTCCAGTGTATACAAGTTATCTTTACCCTATACTGCAGTCTGTTAAGTGTACAACAGCATTTTGTCTCAAAAAAAGCAACGTACATACCTTCACTTGAACACACTTCGTTGCTAAAACATGCCGGCCGTCATCTGAGACTTCAGTGAGTCGCCGTCTTTTTGCTGGTGGAGGGTCTTAACCTTCGATTTGTAACACACGCAGCATCGGCGAAGGGCGAGCCAACGGGGCGTGCCTGCAGCTGCCTAGAGCGCAGGGCATGCCCGTTTCCTTTCCTATCTCCCTCCGCAACACCCTGTGTGTGGGGGGGGAGCAGGTTTCAGGACAGAATGTGTCCTCCTTAGGGGGGAAATGCATATGAGCGATAAAGTCCCAAAGACGCATCCACCAAAATGCTAACTGCTACTTTAAGAGAGAGAGCAAGAACATAGGAATTTTTCCATGTTATTGCACAAGTTTTCATCACTTTCAAATTTTTTATGATGAGTCTGTATGATTTTTGTGAACCCCCCAAAAAACATGATCAACAACAAATTTCAAAAGGAAATCTTTGAAATTCTTTTTTTTTAAAGCGTTCCACCTTTTGGGTTATTTCATGCATACACATTATTTTTTTCTTTATGTGGCAAAATTCACCTATCTTTGTCCTTTTCTTTCCCCTCCTCCCCAAATGTTCTAAGTGTCCAAGGCCTGCCAGGGAAAAATAGTCAACTGTCATTATTCCTGGGCTTGCTGGGATCGGTTTTCCCCTCTGGGCAGAATCCGGAGTTCAGGGTCAGGCGTGTGACGTGCCGCTCAGGCCTCGCAACCAGCTCTCAGAGGGGAGGCGCCTTTACTGCCGCACTTTCTGCGGGGAGAAGCCGAGGCTCGGAGAGGTCCGGCCACGGCTCCCAGGCGTGTCGGCGGGGCCGGCGCTGGCTTTGAACCAGAGCCATGTGACTCCAGGGCCTGTGCCTGACCACTTACTGGTGGGCTCCAGCTCAGCGCCCGCCTCAGCCAAGGCCTGAGAGAGGAAAGTTCCACTTTAGAAACTGGCTAAAAGTTCTGGGAATACTCAGGGGCCGTCGGAATGGAAAAAGATGCTCAGAAGGAATAGAGAGCTCCTCCAAGGGGCTGAGGCTGCCCTGCGTGTGTGACACGTGGAGAGCTTGGCGAACGTAACAACCAGGCGGCTAGTGGGAGGACTGGTCATGCTCTTTGGCAAATTGCTCCCTCCTCCTCCTCCTCCCTCCTTGCCCACCCTCCCCCTTCCCCTGCAGCCCCACCCTGCAAGGGAACACTCGGGACCACCTCAGAGGACGCCTTCTGGTGGTGGTGACTCAGTCCCAAGTCTCCGCTCCAACTCGGAGACTTCCTTCCAGAAGGAACGGGAACCACTCCTTGAGCCTCCCCGTGGGTTTGTGTTTAGGCCCCTGGCCTCGGGCTGCGCCTCCCCCCAGACCCCCCTGGTCTCGGCCACGTCAGGCCCTGATCAGGTGGGGCGGGAGGATGAGACATCTCTCACGTCTGCCCCCCTGGGCCGGCACCCAGGGCGCTGCTTCCTCCCCACCCTCCTTCCTCTCCCAGTGTCCCCACCCCCCCTCCTTGGCCTCCATCTTGCCCTCAGAATCGGTACCTGTGACCTAGTCACGCTAACCTGCGGCTCTCTTCCCGCCCACGGGGATCCACCTGAGTGGCCCGGGCCAGGGACAAACAGTGGTTCTCGCTGTGCCCCGTTTGGGTCCCACGTGGCCACGGAGGGGCAGCGCGGGCCAGCAGGACTGGACATCCCTGTGGGTGGGCTCCCACCCTCAGCCGCTCAGCCAGTCTCCCTCCCTGAGGGGCTGCCGGCTCACGCACGAGTCAGAGGGCACAGGAGGGCAGAGACATCCATCCTCCATTCATTCCCACACCCCTTGGGCACGCCCTCCCCAGCACTGGCGGTGCACCTGGCCCTGCCCCCGCCTCCAGGGCAAGTAGAGTACAGTCTGATGAGGGAAGGTGACAGCGAGGCCCCCAGATCCAGCTCCTGGGTGGTCAGGGCAGGATGGAGGTGACATCCAGCAGTGACTGGAAGGAGGCGGCGTCACCCTGGGCTTTGTCCCCCCGAGTCCAGCTGAGCCGAGGGCAGAGTGGGAAGGCTTGGAGGGCGTTTCCCTGCAGCCTCAGTTGATAAAAACTGGGAGGAAGTGGGTGCCGCCGAGCTCCCGACCCCAGAGGAGCGGGGTAGAGGCAGGCTGGCTGGCCAGCCTGGAGCCAGACGGACGTGGCTGGAGATGACGGTGCCAGTCCCGAGCCGGCCAAGAGGGGCACACCGGGTGGGTTCTACCGAGAGGGCCAGGGGCCCAGCCAGGCCCCCGCGGGGTACTGCTCATGCTGCTGGCACCCCGCTCTGCATGCCCCCGCCCGCCCCCCCACCCGTGTCCTCGCATGCCCACGTCTGTGGCTCCCGCATGCCCTTCGTGTGACTGCTGGCTTCCCCCGCCTCGCGGCTCTGACAAGGAGCATTGCCTGTCCCCAGCCCGATTCGGGAGGCCAGCCGGCACCTCGGGCCCTGCCCTCCCCAGACCCTTCCTGGATAGGGATGCCCTGCCTGGCTCCCCACCTGACTGTCCCTCCGAGCCCTCGGGCGAGGGGGAGCCCCGAGGGTCGGGGAGAGCTCTGGGAGCTAACAGGCCACCACGCCAAGGCCTCGGTGCAATGTCTGGCTCCAAGATGGCTGCCACCAAGACGGCCCCAAGGAGCAAGCGGGTTCCCGCGGCAGTTCTGCCCGTGGGACCGCCCTCCCACCCACCCCTGGTCGCCTAGACAGGACAGTGAAGAAGTTCTGGAACCAGGAGACCCTTGAACTGCCATTCGGGACCCATTCTTGAAGGAAAGGGGTGGCCATGGCTGGGTGCCATCAGCTTCCTGGGACCCCAGATCTCTCGCCCCCCCCACCCCTCGGGCATTCTGTGGGTGCTTCCCCCCCAACACACGCACCTGGACCCCTGGGCTCTGGTGGGGTTGGGGTGTCTCCTGCCCGTGCCCCCTGTGTACGTGGCTGTCTCCCCTCCCGCCCTCCCCCAGCTGCAGCAGTACCCCCGGCTGCGAGAGGAGATGGAGCGCATCGTGACCACCCACATCCGGGAGCGCGAGGGCCGCACCAAGGAGCAGGTGAGGCCACGGCCCCTGATCCCCAGCCTTTCATCCGTCCCCGTCCCTGACCCCGGGCTCTCTTCCTCCTTCCCATTTTGTCTCTTCTGTGTCAGCCTCCCCGCGCTTCCTGTCCTCACACCAAATCTCTGCTTCTCTCTCTCTTTCACTGCGGGGGAATTCACACACACGCGCGTGCACACCGTAAACTTGACTGTGCAGCTCTGTGGTATTAAATACGCTCACACAGTTGTGCAATCACCACCACCGTCCGTTTCCAGAACTTTCCATCTTCCCAGAATGAACTTCTGTCCCAGTTAAATACTGACGCCCCATTCCCCTGTCCCCCAGCCCCTGGGGCCCACCATTCTACTTCCTGTTTCCGTGCATGTGGCAACTCTAGGGCCCTCATATAAGTGATAGCATGCCACGTTTGTCCTTCTGTGTCTGGCCGACTCCACTTAGCGTCAGGTCCTCACGTTCCCCCGTGTCGGAGACCTGTCAGCATTTCCTTCTGGAGGCTGTGCGGTGTTCCAGCGTGTGCCTGACCACACTCTGTTTGTCCGTTCGGGTTGTTTCCACCTTTTGGGTGGCAAGTAATTCTACGAACACAGGGGTACAAGCATTACCTTTGAGACCCTGCTTTCAATTCTTGTGGGTCTGTACCTAGAGATGCAATTGCTGGATCACATGGTAATTCTGTGTAATTCTGTGCATGTTAAGTTTTTAAAATGGATTTGAGAGAGAGAGGGAGGGAGAGAAAAACATCAGTGTGAGAGAGACACATGGATCGGTTGCCTCGCGAACACACCCCAGCCGGTGACTGACCTTGAAACCCAGGCATGTGCCCTGACCGGGAATCCAACCCGCAGCCTTCCAGTCCACGGGACCATGCTCCAACCAACTGAGCCACGCCGGCCAGGGCTGCATGGTTGTTTTTTGAATAACCACCACACTGATTTCCAAGGCAGCTGCCCCATCTTACACCCCCACCACCTGCCCCTGAACTCCCTAGCAAGGGTGTCCTCTGGTCACCTTTCTTTGGGCCTCTCTCTCTGTTTGCTGTGTCTCGGAGTCCCCTATACCTGTCGTAGCCACGCCTCCTCCTTTTAGGTAGTCATCCATCAAAAATCCACTCCATCACAAAGACGTTGCCGGCTGCTGCGTCTGTGCCCGGAGGGGCAGAGGCAGGCGGGCCGGCCCCCCTCACAGCCCGCACGCACGAGGCTCTCAGACCCGTCCCCTTTCCCTGCCCATCCCTCCTCCTCTGGTCCAAGCCCGCCCCTGGCTACCCCTTCCCAACTGCTGTCCTGACACATCCCCTTGCCACAACCGCACTGGCCCCCATCACTCCCATGTTTGTTTTTGATGTGGCTTGTGAGTTCTCCTGGATCTCACCCTGACCGGTGTGGCTCCGTTGGCCGGGGGTGGTCCCACAATGCGAAAGGTCGCTGGTGTGATTCTCTCCCTCTTTCTCCTTCCCTCCCCTAAAAAGAAATAAGTAAAATCTTGAAAAAATTCTTATTGATCTCTTTTTAATTACAAAAGTGATAAACACTCAATCACATATTCAGTCAGCACAGACGTGATTCAAGTACAAGGAAGCGTCCCTCCGTCACCCCTGCCGCCCCCAGCTTCCCCTCCCAGGCATTTTCCTTCACACTCAGATTCCAGATTCTGTCTTAATCTCAGAGAGCCACACTCCTGCCACGTGCGTGTCATGCCTTTCTTCTCTGAGGATAATTATCGGCGCTTACATCAATGGGCTGAGCACCTGTTACACCTCAGACAGGTCGCCTGCCTCCTCTCCTGGTGTCTTCCCACGGCGGTGAGGCAGAGACAGCTCCTTTGTGGAACCTCAGGCTCGGAGGGGACAGGCTCCAGATCGGCAGGAAGCAGCAGCCCTGGGTCCGAAGCCTGCAGGCCGCATCTGGGGTGTCCCTCTCATCACGACTCTCGGGCATTTGCAAAGAGGGTCTTCCCGTGCCGGGACCTAGAGACTGTCCGCACTCCTTGAACAGCTTCATGGTTCAGAGGGCACCATCTTCCCCTTCCGGCGGCCAGGGGCTTGGTCCACGTTTTTCTCCAGGACGAACCACGCCACATGGGGCACCCTGGTGCATACACACCTTTGCTCCCTTGGCGAGTTTGTGCAACATGGTTCTGGAAGTGAGAGTGTGCATTTTACTATTGTCAAATAGTACCACATTGCCCTCCGAGAGTTTGATATCAATTTGCATATCACAGCACCGATATGATATTAACAGTGTATGAGAGAATTCACCTTCTCACAGTTATGCCCACACTGGTCATTGTCAATATTTAGCACTAAGTTGATAGATTTAAAAGGGTCTCATGGTTTGAACTTACATTTCTTTATTCATGACGGGGAGGTACATAACCTACTGGTCATACGCATTTCTTCTATGAACCCATTCACGTTCTTTGACTATTGTGATTTGTGTTTGTTGGGTAGGAACTCTTTATTTATTACAGGTACTCGTGTGTGTGTGTGTGTGTTTCACTTATTATAGATTGTGGATGAATTTGGTTATGGGTCCTCTATGGGCTGGAAGTATTTCACACATTTTGAAACTCTGGTGTGTTTCCCACCTCCCTCCCGACCTCTGTGTCCTTGAAGGTCATGCTCCTCATCGATATCGAGCTGGCGTACATGAACACCAACCACGAGGACTTCATCGGCTTTGCCAAGTGAGTGCTCCCCGGGCAGAGAAGGTGACATCGCGGGGGGTGGGGGTGGGTGGCAGGGAAGGACCCAGGCCCGGGTTGACCCTCGGGGTGTGGTGCCCGCTGAGCCGTGGCAGTGGAGCTGGGCCTCTTGAAAGGAGAAGCCCTGAGACTGTCCCCCTCCACCCGCCCCCCGCAGTGCGCAGCAGAGGAGCAGCCAGATGAACAAGAAGAAGACCTCAGGCAACCAGGTGAGCGAACTCCGGCGCCCCAGCCCGAGGGATGGAGGGTGCCGGATGGATGCCGAGCTCTGAGAGCCCCCTCCCCCGAGGGCAGGGGTCCCACGGGGGCCAGAGAGCCCACCAGCCGCCAGCCACAAGCCTCCCACTCTGCCTCAGTAATCCTCTCTCCTCTCTCCCAATGCTTCTCGTGGTTGCTATGGTTACCTCTTTACAGGATGAGATTCTGGTGAGTACCAGGACCGGGGCTCTTGGCTTGTGTAGCGAGGGGGGAGGAAGGGGCTCACTGTAGTGGGATGGGCGAGAGGGTGCCTCCTGGCTTGAGCCGCTTGCGCATGCCAGCCCTGGGTCCTGTACACGTGCTCTCAGGCCATGGCAAGGCCTGGCCGCAGGCGGAGTCCCCTCCACCTGTCCGTCAGTGCGCATGAGCTAAGCACCGCCTCAGCCAGAGGCAGACCGTGCCGGACGGGGTGAGTGAGGATGCCTGGCAGGGGCCTGGCACTGAGTAGGTGCTCCTTAAACATCTGTTGGATGGGTGGAAGTCTGGATGGATGGATGGATGGATGGATGGATGGGAAAGAAGCATGTTTTTAAGCTTGCCTGGCACACAGTAGGTGCTTGGTAGCATAACGTAATCCATGAGTGAAGTAACCCAGGGCAGTTGGGTTCAGCAAGCACTCGCTGGCGCCTACACCGTGCTGCTGCCCACTGGACGGGAGTCAGACCCTGGCCCTGCCTCTTGGAGACCTAGGCCTCCAGGCTTGGCCCAGACAGAGTGGGGGTCGGGGGAGTGGGAGGGGCTCTGGAGGGGTTTTGGATGGGGGGGTTGGGGAGGGCCCAGGGAGGACCGAGGCTGCGGATCAGGGCCATCAGCAGGGTGGCGGGGCCTGCTGGTTGGACGCTGAGGTACGAGTGCCGGTGTGTGGTGTTCGGACTCATTTCTGAAGACAGTGGCGAGAAACTGAAGGAGTCTTCACTGCACTGGGACAGGGTGGGAGAGGCGCCACGGGGCACCAGGCTGCCGTGTCCCTGTTAATGGCTCAGCTGCTGGCCCACCGCGTGACTTGGGTTCCTGGGGAAGCCAGAGAGGGTTAAGGAGGGTTTCGAGGGTCTCAGAAGCAGGCCCAGCCCCAGGCTCCCTGGGTCTTCTCTGGGCGCCCAGAAGAGGAGACCAGGGAGGCCAGGGCCAAGGGGGTGGCAAAGACGCAGCACCCCCTCTCCTCTGCATCCGGCCCACCACCAGGTCTGGGCCGGGCTCTGCCCTGGGAGCACAGTCCGAAGGCCCTGGTCTGTGACAGTGGCTCAGGACGGTCCTGGGGACAGCTTCTTCCTGCTGAGAAAAGGGACCTTTTCCTGTCACTCTGAGGTTTCCCCCTGCCCCGACTCCTAGCCACCCTCCCTGTGTCCAGGGCCTGGTGCCAAAGATTCTTCGAACCCCACTGTTATATCACGCCTCGTATGCTTACTGGTCCCCTCCTGCCTGCTGCGCGCTCTGCAAGGTGCTGGGATGCGCCGAGCGAGGGAGTTTGCAATTCAGCCAGAGGGACTGACGTGAACAGATGCCTACACACACACATGAATTCAAAATACTAGTCATTGCCACAGAAGACTTCAGAGAGTGATACAAGATTATAATGGAGGTCCTGATTTTTACTGGGGGGCGGGGAGGGGCTGCCTGAGAACGTGACTTCTGAGCCAAGACCCAGAGGGTGAGTAGGAATCTGCCAGGCGAACAGGAGGGCAAGTGCTTTCCAGGCAGAGGCAACAGCAGCGTGTGCAAAGTCCCTGAGGTCAGCGACAAGACTCAGAGTAAATCAGATCTGAAGCTGCAAAGACGCTCAGAGTGGTCCTGTCCGGTTGGCCACCTAAGGTCTCCTTGCATACCTTTAGTGGCGGGGAGCTCATCCCCTGCCAAGGCCACCAGTCCCCCACTCAGACGGCTCTGACTGTCAGAAGGCCCTTTGTCCTGAGCTGATTTCTGCCTTCCTCTGTCTCCCGACCCGTTCGCTTGTGGTTCAAACAGGGCAGGTCTGGCCCCCACCCTCCCCGACCAGCCAGGCCTCCGAGAGCAGGGAGAGGAGCGGGCTTCCCAGTGCCTCTCTTTGCCTGCCCGCTCCTCCACGGGGAAGCCCGGTCTCTGCCCGCTGACCGCCCGCCCCCCGCCCCCCAGGTCATCCGGAAGGGCTGGCTGACCATCAACAACATCGGCATTATGAAGGGAGGCTCCAAGGAGTACTGGTTTGTGCTGACCGCCGAGAACCTGTCCTGGTACAAGGATGACGAGGTGAGTAAAGGGCCACTGGTCATCGAGGGGTTTGGCTGGTGGCCCAGGTCAGGCTCAGGCCCTACCTCTGGCTTGGTGTGGACTGGGCCACCCAGCAGGGTGTAAAAAAAATAAAAACCATCAGGGGTCCTTGGGTGGAGGTGAGCTGCAAGGATTGGGGGCAGGCCGTCCGGGGGGCTCATCCAGGCTGGGCTGAGAAGACGGCTTGGCTGGACTGGGGAGCTGGGGGCTGCGCACCGTGGAGAAGGGGGGAGAGGGGGCCGGGCGCCCCCACCCCGCCGGCCCTGCGGCCTTCCTGTTTTCCTGCTCCGGGGCGTGCCGCCTCTTCTGTGGCCCCCACAGGCCGGTGACACACGGAGTCCAGCTGCCAGACACCCTGTTAACCCCTGCACCCCAGTCCCCCGGGCCCCCCCCCACCGTCCGAGGGAGATGTTTGGAGGGTCCCCAGGCTGAGGGGCCAGGAGGGACGGGGTCCCACAGAGGCGCCACTCGAAACCGCTCCCTGCCCAGTGGGGCACACAGACCCCCGCCCCGCCCTGCCCCGCTCCCTCCCTCCCTCCCTGGCTGCTGGTCTCCTTTAAGAATGAGTCTATTTGGCTTCTACATCTGGATTCCAGAGGTGACCAGAGAGAGAGCAGGGAGGGCTGGGGGGGGCTTGTGGTAATGAACTCCAGCTGGCCACAGTATGGGGGAAGGGACCCTCTTCTTCCTGAGGGTGCTCCTGGGGGACAGGGTGCTCTCAGAGCACGACGGGGGAGCGAGGCTCGAGGTGCGGCCCGGTGACTTTGGTTCCCCAGCACCCCCTCCTCGATCTCTGCCCCTCCAAGTCACCCCGGGCAGGCCCCCCACCCCACCTTGGGCGGGGCCCCCTGTCATCACTGGCCATCTGGACCTCATTACCTCAACCCTGGCCTCTCCCTGAGTGCAGGGGCCCCTGCGAGGGCTGGGGTGTGAGGCGGCGTGGCAGGCGGGTGTGGGGTGTCGCTTCCTGCCCTGTCACTCAGATACACCCCCCTAGACACCCCCCCTCACCGTGGGCTGGGGGGTGCCCACTGTGGGCCCCATAATGTGCAGTGTGACCCGGGGCTGGCGGACTGCACCGCAGGTGGGGGCAGCGTATCCGAGGGGGGCCCCTCACCTCGTGCCCGGGGGGATCGTTTCTGAGCGCTGTGCGGAAGGAAGCCGGCCCTGGGCCCTGCGGGTGTGTGGGGCGTGGGCGCGAGCGCGGGGCGGCGGGGAGGTGTGGGGCCTCTCGGCTGCCGTGTGGGGGTGTTTGCAGGGGAGAGTTCGGGATGCGAGCGTCTGGGTATGTTCCGTGTAGGAGGCTCTCGTGTGCACTTGGGGACAGGCTGTGTGTGCCTGCAGTGTGACCGGACGTGTGTGCCATGCTCGGTGTGTCGGTGTGTGTATGTGTGGGGGCAAGCCGGCTGAGGAAGGAAGGTGTGTGTGCGTGTGCAATACTTGAGATATGTGTGGATTGAATATGTATGTGTTTAGGGTGTAAGATGGGGGGTATGGGGGTGCTCACTCGTGTGTGCGCTCGCGATGTGCGTGTGCGCTCGGGGCGTGGATGTGTGACTTGAAGTGCGGGTCTGGGGACGTGTGTGCCTGAGTTGTGGGGTGCGCGTGTCGAGGTGAGGTGGTGTGTGTGTGTGTGTTGGATGTGATGGAATTTTGCACAAGCACATCTGGGGACATGGAGGTGGCCCCGGCCGAGGGGGAGGGTAATCCGTCCCCGGGCTCCCCCAGCCGCCAGCCCTGCGGTCTCTGGGACTGGGGCGACCCTCTGGTCAGACAGCCACCCACATCCCCGGTCCTCATTAACCACCCCCATCTTCTCCATCTCCTCTCACCCCCCCATCGGCACCCCCACCCCGTGTCCCAGCAGGGCAGCACCCCAGCCCTCTGCACCTCCTCCCAGCCCACCCCGTGCCCCCCTGCCCCCTGCCCCCTGCCCCCAGCCCCAGCTCCAGGCTCCAGCTCTGGGGTGGCGGATGTCGGTCCAGCTCTCCAGCGGCGCCGAGGGTCTAACCCAGCCAGCCTAACCAATGTGCAGACTACTGTACAATTTGGGAGTCCTGAACAGATAGTCTAAACACTGGGTAGACGGAGTGGACGTGTCCTCCGGTCCGTCCGGACGGCAGTGTCCGTTGTCCGGCGGGAGTTTCGGCCCCGTCTCCTGGAGATCCGAGGCCCCCATCCCCAGCCCAGCCAGCCCCAGGTCCCCTCTCTGCTCCCGGCTCCCCTTCTGCCTCCTTTGACGTGGCAGGGGCGAGCAGGAGCTGTGCGGGGAGGGAGGGGCCTGGGGAGGGGGCCGGCCAGCGGGAAGGGAGGGGTGGGGGAAGGAGGCCACTCCTGCTTCGTGTCCAACCCCAGCGCGCAGGGCGGTGGCGGCAGGGCCTCCCTCGAACGCTTCCAGATGTTCCCTGGCCTCGTGTGCAACTTCCTCCTCTCCTCCCCCAGCCGCCCTCTGGGGCTCCCGGCCACCCGGCCACTCGCCTGGCATAAAGAGGGCTTTATGCGACTGGACGGGCCAGGCGGGTGCAGGGGGCAGAGGGAGGTGGGCAGGATGACGCCAGGACAGGGAGCAGGGTTCTCCTACACCCAGCCCCCCCACCTGAGACATGGGTGAGGCTCCTGCCCAAGTCCTGGGTCCCCAAGACCCACACAGAGCACCCCTGCCCCCTCCCCAGCGTGGGCCCCGTGGCACTGGGTGGGCATGAGAGTCACACACAACAGAAACCTCTCTCCTGCTCCCACAGCCCCATCCTGGGGTCCACCCTCCCGAGATCTCTGAGCCCCTCCCCTTGACACGGCAGCCTACCGACGAATGGGCCTGCACCAGGCTTGCACACATGTGCACACAGGCCTGGCACCCACACGCCCATCCCCAGACACACAGAGCTCCTCCCAGAGCGCCCAGCCCATTACACAAAACCGTGTGCACGTGAACATGCGAACCCGCAGCCCGTGTGCCTCAGGCACGTTCACGCAAACACAGAGACGTTTACAGTTGCCACACACGTCCACAAAAAGTGTGCACGCATCCTCATGGGCACACAGATGTGCTCACGTGGGCACCCGGCTGTGCTGGGTGCCTCCTCAGACACCCGAGTTCACATTCACACACCTGTGCAACGAACACTCATGGACACGCACACACAATGGTGACAGGGTATGTGTTTGGGCTTGTGTGTGTTCGCACACGCACACACAGCCACACACATCTGCACGCAGACTCACCATCTCCAGGCCCGTGCTATGTGCTGATTGCTAACACATGGGCGTCTGTGGGGAGTGGGCTGAGCCAGCCCTTTGAAGCGAGGGGCTGGTGGCCCCCCTTCCTGTCTCTACTCAGGAAATGAAGTCAGAGGCTTATCCAAAGCAGGCCCAGCAGCCAGGCCAGGGGGCGAGAGAGGCTCCAGGGCGGGGAGTTGAGGGGGTGGGGGGGGTCCCTGGGCTGAGGCTGGGCTGGCTTGCCTCCAGGCCTTTCTTGGGGCAGGATGTGGGAGCCACCCTCTCAGCCTTGCCACCCTCGGCCCTAGGGCCCCGGCGGGCATGCAGAGGTGCCCAGCAGGTCCCCCACCTGCGCCCGGGGCCACTGTGAGGACCCACGGCCCCAGGCCCCCCAGCGCAGAGGCCCTGAGGGAGCGGGGCGCCGCGGAACACAGCGCCGACCTCACCCACGGCTCTGCCCTGCCCGCAGGAGAAAGAGAAGAAGTACATGCTGTCCGTGGACAACCTGAAGCTGCGAGACGTGGAGAAGGGCTTCATGTCCAGCAAGCACATCTTCGCCCTGTTCAACACGGAGCAGAGGTGCCTGCCCGCCCCTCGAGCCGGGGCTGTGGGGCCCCCCGCCTCCCCCACTGGGGTGGAGAAATGGGGTACACAGTTTCAGAAAGGACAGGGCCCTGCCCAAGCCCCACCGAGGGTCATCCATTTGGCAAATACTCATGGAACCCCTGCTGTGCACTGGGCATCACTGTCAAGACCTTCCTGGCCCACCCGCCCTCCCTCCCTCCCTCCCTCCCTCTTCTCCTTCCTTCCTGTCTCCTCCCCACCCCCACCCCCATCTTTTCAGTCACTTGGTTAGCGCCTGCTCTGCATGAGACAGTCTGCCAGGCCTGGGGATGAGCCCCAGTCAGGCCCGGTCCCCTTCTCGTGTTGGTGAGTGTGCAGGGGCCAGTGGCAGCACCAGGCATCTCCCCCGCAACCCAGGGCTGATTCTAGTGGGCTTTCTCCTGCTCGGAGGTGAGAGTTCAGGATAACTGCCATCGGAGGGGTCCCCAGGGCGCCAGGGAGGGAGCCAGTCCCACCCTAGGGGCTGCCCTGTCCCAGATGCCCTTGTCCAAGGGCTCAATCCCCTTTCTCACTGAGCATCGTATTGCTCATTCCACTGAATCTCCACAAGGACCCTAGGAGGCAGGAATTATTATTGCTAAGCTATCTTCCAGATGAGGAAACTGAGGCCTGGAGAGAGGAAGGGAGTTGCCCGGGGTCACCCAGCTGGGAAACGAGAAAGTCAGTGCAGGACCCCAGGCGTGATGACCCCAGTCCCTGCATGCCCTTAACCACCAAGGTCAACGGGCTTCGCCCCGTCTCCCCTCACCACCTGCCCCGTCCTGCAGGAATGTCTACAAGGATTATCGGCAGCTGGAACTGGCCTGCGAGACACAGGAGGAGGTGGACAGCTGGAAGGCCTCTTTCCTGAGGGCTGGAGTGTACCCCGAGCGTGTGGGGGTGAGCGGCAGGCCGGGGAGGGGAGGGGCCAGCTGCTTAGAATAGGGGTCTGGGGTCCCCTCCTCAGTGACACCACATAATGCCATGTTTCAGAGCCCTCGCTGAGCAAAAAGTAACCGACCTCCTCCCCCTCCCTGTGCTGGGGCGGGATCCGAGTGGAGCCTTCCTCCCCCTCCAATAGCGGTTTTGTGTCCACTCTCTGCCACAGATGGCGTTTCCTGCATCCCTGTCCTATGAGGGTGGTTTTTTTGTGACTGTCTCCTCTTTGTACTCCTCTTCCACCGTGGCGGTGTCTAGAGCTGCCTGAGTTGGGGTACAGTGTCCCGGGTTCACTCAATTCCCCCCTTTTCCTCTGTGTATCTGCTTTGGCTCTGCCTGCTGGTGCTGGCCGCGGTGGCAATGCTGGTGTGGTGACCTCTATGACCTTGGCATGGGCCTCCCAGGACAAGGAGAAGGTGAGTGCGGCACCCCCCCCCCACGCACTCTCCCATGCATCTTCAGCCTGGCACCACCTCTGGCCAGATCCTTAGAATCAAGAGGGGACCTTAGAGATGTCATGTCCTTTCCTAATTTATCGACTGGGAAACAGGCAAGTTCTAGGCCCTAGAATCAGAGATGAAGTAAGATTAAACAAGGGCCTGGGGTCCTGTGAGGCCCTGGGACGGGCAGAGCCCGGAGACCCAGAGTGTATCGGGGAGCCGGTGCGCATGTGTCCAGCTGGCGGCCAGTTGCTTCTCTCGGTGCCTCAGCGTTCCAGGCACCCTTGGAGGGGGGGGACTGGTGCCTGGAACCCGGCATCAAGGGCCCGGCCGCCCTGATGCCCTCTGTTCCCAACGGTAGGCCAGCGAGACCGAGGAGAACGGCTCGGACAGCTTCATGCACTCCATGGACCCGCAGCTGGAGCGGCAGGTGGAGACCATCCGGAACCTGGTAGACTCGTACATGGCCATCGTCAACAAGACCGTGCGGGACCTTATGCCTAAGACCATCATGCATCTGATGATCAACAACGTGGGTGCACCCCTGCGGGCGGGGTGGGCGGGTGCGCTTGGGGGACCGCGGAGGTGGGCAGCCAGGTTGGCCGGGGGGAGCATGGGGCAGGCCAGTGGGACCGGGTCTAGGGAGGGAGGCCTGGGTCCACACCAGAACCGTCTAGTAGAAACACGTATCAGGTGGGTTTCGTATGTTATTTTGTAGATTCACATGCTCAGATTGTTTCAAACATGCTGGGAAGTTTTACAGAAGGGGCTAGGAATCTGCGTTGTACAAGAACACCCACATCATGTTGTGTTTTTTTTAAACAGTGACAAACTCAGTCCACCCATCACACGAGATTTATTTATTTTTTTTAGATTTTACTTATTTATTTTTAGAGAGGGAAGGGGGGGAGAAAGAGAGAGAGAGAAACATCAATGTGCGGTTGCTGGGGGTCATGGCCTGCAACCCAGGCATGTACCCTGACTGGGAATCGAACCTGTGACACTTTGGTTCGCAGCCCGCGCTCAGTCCACTGAGCTATACCAGCCAGGGCTCCCAAATCACGTTTTGACATGCACACCCCACAGAACCACTAACACTGTGCAAATCCTGGCTTTGCCTCAGATACCCTGTGTGACTTTAAGCAAGCAAACTACCCTCTCTGAGCCTGTTTCCTCATATGGAAAATATGGGTAATAATAGACTTGAGGAATGAATGAATACAAAGTGCATAGCAACACACTGCCAGGCACGTAGGAGGTGCTCAACATGCATTTGAATACTGAATACGATGTAAGCTAGGCCTATGGCATTAAACAAACAAAAAAAACCCAAAACTTCAGCATCTCCCCATGAATGTCCCAGAACCCAGGCCCGGTAACCCCAGGTAACCCACCCCTTCCCTATACACCGAGACTCACATCTCCCCCAACCCAGACACACAGTCACAACCCTTTACCCCAGGGCTCAGAAAATTTTGAACTGTCTTCGTTATTTTGGCCCAGCGGAGCGTGCAGGTCCTTGGAAAGGGTTTAACTAACACATCTTACAGATGAGGAAACTGAGGCTGAAAAAAGCTGAGGAAGGGAGTGTCCTAGATGTGCTGTAGTCCCTGAGCTACTCTCAGAGCTGTGACCTTGAACAGGTCACTTTTCCTCTCCGGACCACCCGAGAAAAGAGCAAGGGGCAGGGGTTGGGGCTGGGGCAGGGGAGATCTCCGAGTTTAGGCAAACCCCTCCCTCCCCCGAAGCTTCCAGTCCAGCTCAGGGGCCCAGCGGAGCCCTGGGGGTGGAACAGGCAGACAGGCGTCAGGTCCCAGCCCTCTCCTCTCTTCACCTGCTGGCACGCAGACCAAGGAATTCATCTTCTCGGAGCTGCTGGCCAACCTGTACTCGTGCGGGGATCAGAACACACTGATGGAGGAGTCGGCCGAGCAAGCGCAGCGGCGGGATGAGATGCTGCGCATGTACCACGCGCTGAAGGAGGCTCTCAGCATCATCGGCGACATCAACACGACCACTGTCAGCACGCCCATGCCCCCTCCCGTGGACGACTCCTGGCTGCAGGTGCAGAGTGTACCGGCTGGACGCAGGTACCAGGGCCGGCCCCCATGGCCCCAAAGCCCCCCAGTCCGGGGCCCGTGGGAGGAGGGCCGGGACCGGGCAGTGGCGCGCCCGCGTCACCGGGGCAGCTCCCACTTGGAGCGAGGGGCGGATCTTAGAGAGGGCGGGGCTTGTTGCTGGGCGGGGCTTGCCATGGAGCGCTGGCTGCGGAGCTTGGTGGAGCTGGAAAATTGGAGCCACCTGGGGCGTGGCCTAAGCTCCCGCGATCACCTGGGGCGGGGCTTTGCGCTCATGGGTGTGGCCTGCGCTTGGATGGGCGGGGGCTTTGGAGTGGGGCGGAGCCGCTCATCTCTCTCCTCGCCCTGTCCTTCGCTCCCTTTCGCCAGCAGGTCACCCACGTCCAGCCCAACGCCGCAGCGCCGAGCCCCCGCCGTGCCCCCAGCCCGGCCCGGGTCGCGGGGCCCTGCTCCTGGGCCTCCGCCTGCTGGGTCCGCCCTGGGGGCGGCGCCCCCCGTGCCCTCCAGGCCGGGGGCTTCCCCTGACCCCTTCGGCCCTCCCCCCCAGGTGCCCTCGCGCCCCAACCGTGCCCCGCCTGGGGTCCCCAGGTGAGTAGATGCTGAAAGCGGCGGAAGAGACCGCTGGGCGGGCGTGGCCGGGAGGGAGACGGGGCCGGATTCTGCAGCATCGGCCTTCGCAGCCAGAACCGGCGCTCTTCATTCAAGGCACCTGTGGGTGCCGGAACCACGGGAGGTGTGGCGGAGGGCTGGCGGAGCCTGCTCCCCAGGGAGCGCTGAGTCCCGGAGGTTGTCGTTTCTGGGGGGGGGGGGGCCGTGGGGCTCATCCCACCTGTCCCTCTCTTTCAAGCACTTGCATGGCGCTTCTGTCCTCTTTCACTCTCCCCACACCTCGCATTCCTCCTCCTTCCCCTTCTCCACGTGTCCTCTCCTCTCCCCCGGTCCCTAGGTCAGCCTCCCTCGGGTCAGAGGATCTGAACCCAGATTCTCTTTGGACGTGTAGATGTTGCTCACTTAGGCTCAGGGCTACCCTGATGCCCCACCTTCCCAGGTCCCGCTCTTCTGAGCTGTCCCAGGAGAGTGTCCCGCCTCTGACCCACAGGACAGAGGCCAGGCGGTGACTGTGACCAGCAGGGTGTGTGATGTGTGTGTGGGCGTGCACACAGGTGTGAGAGTGTACGAATGGCACCCAGGCGAGGGGTAGGACGTGGAGCAGCTGTGCCAGGGTCTGGGAGGGAGGCATGGGGCAATCTGGTGGCTTTCTTCCTTTCCCCCGTCTCTGGCCCTACCTGTCCTGGGCCAGCATGGCGGGTGTGGGGCAGGACGGGGTGAAGGCTGCCCCTGTCCCAGAGCTTTCCAGGGAAAAGGACTCTACTTCATCCCTTGGCTTTGCCTTCTTGATCCATGGCCCTCTTTTAAGGAAGCTCCCTCTGACACCCAACAGCCTGCCCTGTGCGTACTGGACATACGCCCTGAGGAAGGACACATCAGACCAGCAGCATCTACCCATGTTTCCCGGTGGCTGCAGGGTAGGGCCGCGGGTCTAGCCCTCATGGCCCAAAAGGAAGCAGAGACGGGGCTTGCCGTCTGGCGATCTGCCGGCCAAAGCAGAGGGGGTAAGGCAGGCAGCACGGTGTTGATCAAGAGCCCCGGACCGGGGTTCAGAGCGTCGGGGTCACCCTGCCTTGTAGGCAAGTCCCTTCCCCTCCCGGGGCCTCAGTTTCCCGTCTGCCGAATGGTGATTAACATTCCGCCTCTCCCCCAGGGTTGGTGGGGGGTCAAGGGAGTCCGTGGCTAGAGGAGTGCCGAGTTCACTGCAGATGTGGCTCTGGGGGCCCTTGGCTAACTTCCAGCGGGAGTGCAGATTCTTAAGGGTTTCTGACACGCCCCAATCTGCGCTGAGGTCTGACATGTGGGAACGTCAAGATCTGGAACCTGCTCTCGCTCCAGTTTTGCCGACACCCAGGAAACACGTGGCCAGTCGCGGCCCCACCTGGGGGTAGAGAGCGGGCTGGGGGCAGCCCGCCTTCCGTGAGGCTGGGTGCCGGCTGAGATGAGGCTCAGGTGGTGAGGCGCTGTGAGGCGTCGGGGCTGGGAGCGGCAGCGTGGGCGAGGTTCGGCGTGGGAGGCCGTAAGGAGAGCCGCTGGCTGGAGCAGGGTGCGGGCAGAATGAGGAAGAATAAGCAGGGGTTGCCCTAGGTGCCGTGGCCCAGGTGGGGGAACCCTCCGAGTCCACAGAAAAGTTGGACTTACTGGGACTCAACGACAGGGGTGGTAGGGAGCCATGGAAGGCTCTTGGGCAGAGACATGATAGCCAGACCCTAAGAAAGCAAAACCTGTTTCTTACGGAGATTTGCAGGTGGCCCTCTGAGCACGCCAGGCATGAGTGTGCAGGGAGCTGGTGCAAATGCCTCCTGTATGCGGGCAAGCTTCTGTGTTGTGACTCAGGCCACGCGTGTGCTTCAGTGTGCCTAGTGGCTGCATGCCCCAGGTCCGTGCTGCACGTGCCAGCCAGCGGGGGTGCTGGGCAGTGGGAGGCGGGAGAGGCGTACGTGTGTTGTTTGTGGGCATGTGTGTCAGCGTGAGCATGCGGGGCCATGGGCCCTCACAGCATGTGTGTGCACGCCCGGACGTGTGCGTGTGTGTGTGCGCGTGTCCCCGCCCCCCCGCCCCCAGGCCTGCCCTGTCCGTGCGTGTGAACTGCCATGTTGATTTCGTGCTGTCTTTCAGAATCACTATCAGTGACCCCTGAGGAGCGTCAGCCACGGTAGGTACTTGCCTCTCCGCCTGCTGCATGAAAGGTGTGTCTGCCCCCTGCCGCACCAGCTCCACACTGTGGGGGGCGCACCTAGGACCTCAGAGCCAGGCTCTCCTCCCACCCCCTTCTATAGCTCCAGACTTATTCTTTCCTCTTTCTGTCCTTGCTGCCAGCTGGCTCTGTCACCTCCCTTCTCAGCGAGCCTCGGGACTCAGTGCCATTGCTCAAGGTCTCCATGGCTGAGCCTGGGGAGCTCTTGGGACAGGCTCCGCACCCGCGCTGGTAGACACGGGTGCCCTGCGGAGCCGTCGGAGGGCAGAGAGCCCGTGGCTTATGGTGTAGGGACAGGGAGCTCGGAGGGGGTTGTACGGCACTGGACTCAGGCAGCCAGAGGCCTTGGGGGTGCTTCGCCCTGGGAGTGCCATACTCACTCCTCAGTCCGAGCCACGCTGCTGGGGCGGGGCAGGCAGCGTGCAGGTTTGGAGCTCTGGGAACCGAATCCACCGTAGGGCAGAGGAGGGCAGAGTCCCACCTCTGCTGAGCAGCGATCTGAGGCAAAGTCTTGTTGTTTGATGATTTCTGGAAGCCTGAGGGTCCCAGCCACACCAGCAGCCCAGAACGCACCTCATAGGCGAGGCAGGGTCCCACAGCCCCTTCCCCGATCTCCTTGGCGTCGTCACACCTGCTAGTGCATCACGGAGGCAGCGTGCTCAGCCCCAGGTGAAGCACCACAGCCAGCCTCTGGGCTCATAGACCTGGGCCTGTTGCTCCTGGAGGTGGCCTGCACGTTTCAGCCAAGGGGATGACAGTGTCCGCTGACCTGGGCAAGTCAGCTTCTCTGAGTTGCATCCCAGCCAGGCCACAGAGCTCGCCCGGTGAACCCACCTGCCGCTCTACCCCTGCCGCTGACTCTCGTTCTTCTGCTTTTCCCCAGCAGGAAGGGCCCTGCCTCACCTACGCGACCTGCGGTCCCCCGGCCAGCTGAGGCTCCCCTCTTAGACTTATAAGCCGGTGGCCACTGGCATCCAGCTGCCTGTCCTCCCTGCCTCCCCGGGGTCCCTTCAGAGGACTCCTGGGCCTCCTGCCCACACGGAGGGGCCTCCAAGGCTCCCTCCAGCCATCCTTTAGCTCCGCCCTCCTGGTCCAAACAGTGTTCTTTCTCCTGTCTTCTCCAGCAGGCCTGGTGGCCCTTGCTTGGGGCTCACAGCCCCATACTCCCCGAGGCTAGCAGCGGACTGGGCCAGTGGGCTGAAAGATAGGGGGCCATAGAAAAGGGGGAGCCAGAGGGGGCTGATCGTGTGTCTGGAGCTGTGGGTGCACTGCCTGGTGGTGTGTGAGAGACCAGCGTGTGTGGCAGGGGGAGGTTCCGCCTGGGCCTCCAGCCCAGACACTGCGCCCCAGACCCTGCGCCCCAGACCTCCGTGAAGCTCTGGCCCCTGCCCACTTCCAGCTCCTCCCTCCCACCTTCGCCTTCTTTCTCTCCTCTCTTCCGGAACCCTTGCCCACACCTTCGCCTGCATCGTCTTCCCCTGCGCTCCGCCCCGTGCCCCCGCCGGGCTCAGCCGCCCTTGCCTTACCAGGTCTCTCCCTCCTCTCTCCTGTTCTCTCTCTGCTTCCTCTCCAACTGCCAGCCGATCGGGTCAGGCAAGTCCGTCCCGTCCTGAGAGCCCCAGGCCCCCCTTCGACCTCTAACCAGATCCCTTCTCTTCCTCGGAGACTTCCCTCTCCAAGCCTGCCTGGACGGCTGCTCTGTGACCTGACAGTGGCTCCCAAAGCCGCCCCCCTTCATCCGTGACTTAGTCTATTGTAGTGGTGAGCTGACACACCCAGCGTGACGTTGGTGAAACTTGTGCCCCTCTGTGGTATTTCTCCTGCCCTGTTCTATAAATATCTATAAATACTTATATATATATATACATATATATATACATGCACACACGCGCACACGCACACACACGAATATATATGGCTGCCACAGCCTCACCCCTTGTGCTGGGAATTACCGTGCTTGTCTTTGAGGAGTCTTGTGGCCCAACTGCAAGGAAACACTGTCACCCTACCATCCTCCTCCAAAGCGTGCCACCTCCGATGAGCTTCCCTGTCATGCCGGCCTGTGGACAGCCACCCCCTTTCTGCCCCCCAACCCATCTTTCCCCCCTTGTGTGCGGGGGCGCTGTCCCGGCAGCTGCGTGGTTCTCTGACCGCTACCAGTCTTGCTGTCTCTTGGCTGAGAATAAAACCCATTTCTGGACGATGGGGAACTGTGTGCTCTGCTGGCTGGTGTTCTCTGTGCCACTCAGGGGGAGGTGAAGGTTCAAACACTGGGGTGCGCAGGTGCGTGAAGGGCCCAGCCATTGCTAGGGCCCGGCAAGGAATGGTGGAACGAGGTCCCATCCTTTCCAAGGCCTCCTGGGAAAGCACCTGGAGATTCGCAGTTCATCCTGCGACTCCTGCTCCGACCACTAGGGGGCAGGGGCACCATCTCAGCCTGCAGGGTGGATGTGGGGTGTGGGCCGGTGGCGTGGACAGAACAAACAGGCCACCAGAGGGCAGGGTCATGGAATGGAAACCACCTGGCCTGGAAGCCCGCTCTCCTGCGTGGTGGCACCCTGCTTTCCCGCCCAGGATTAAATCAGGCTTCTGAGTCTGTCAACCACTAGGGCAGGACTGACCCTTAAAGCCCCACAGCCAGCCCCTTGGGGTTCCCCAGGCTTTCCCAAGCAGCCAGCAGGAGACAGACCCAGACCTCTAACAGCCCCACCCAGTGCGCTCAGACACTCTGGGGTTGCACACAGTGCAGAGGCCTGCCCTCTGCTGGCAGGACCCACCTCCTGCTCAGTGCCCACAGCACAGGGCTCGGGGACCAGGGACCGGGGACAGGAGCACTCATGACCACACAGTATGGCTAAATCCATTTATTCTGAAATAAAACAAATAGAGTCGAATCAACCCCGTCCCCACCTCCTTACTCTGTCCTATGTTATCAATAAATAAGTTTATTCTTGTATTTTTATAATAATAGGAATGACAGGGACGGGACGGGGTGGCAGGGGGACCGCGTGGGCCCCGCCTCCCCAGAGTAGTGTCACGCGGTCAGATCACCATGATCTTCACCCCAGCGTCGCCGTCGGCCCGGTAGAAGAAGGGGATGCAGGGGTTCTTGCTCAGGCCCGGGTGCTCCTGGCAGCTCTGCATCTCGCACAGCAGCTGCATGATCTGCTGCGCGGTGGAGTTCTCCAGTGCGGCCGGGCCCAGCTCCACGCCGTCGGCCAGGCTCACCTCGAGGAGGTCTTGGGGGAGAGAGAGAGCGGGAGGGAGGGAGGGGCAGGGCTCTGGGTGACCTGCGAGCTCCGCCCGCCCGCCTGCCCGCCCGCCCACCGGCCCTCCCCGCGGGCCCTACTCACCACCCTGGCTGGGAGCAGCTCCAGGTGCTTGAGGGGCTGGGGGCGCTGTGGTGGGCTCTCCAGCAGGGTTCTGGCCAGCCCCCAGGAACTTGCCGTACAGTTCATTGCGCTCGCCCACCAGGCGCACCACCAGCTCCTGCAACTCCAGGAGCTTCACCTGGAGCAGAGAGAGGCGCTCAGCAGCCACACCCCGACACCTGGCCCGACCCGGCCCGGCCCGGCCCGTGGCCGGTCGGGACCCTACCTTCATGTCCTCCTTGTCCTTAGCCAGCCGGCTGATGTATTCCTCCTTTTCCCGGTGCCGCTCCTTCAGCACCGCCCTCTGGTTCTGGTACAGGGTGATGTAGTCTCCTGCGAGGGGCGGGGGGGAGGGCAGGTGGTGGGCAGAGCTCAGCCGCCGGGCTCGCCGCCCACCACACCGCGCCCGCCCCCTGCACCGGCCGCCCCCTCACCAATAGTGTCTGTCTCCCCGGACAGCTGAATGCAGCGGTGCTCCAGCTCCTCGACCCGCTCCTTCAGGTCCGCGTTCTCTTGCATGACGTCTGTAAAGCGGCTCTGCGGCCCGAGAGCACAGTCAGTAGCCACCTGCCCTGCCCATGCCCACCCTTCCCGGCCCATGCCGGGGGACACTCACTCACCTGCAGCTTGTCCATGGCCACCTGGAGGGCCTGGTGGTTCTCCACAGGCGTGCTGTCCCCGCTGGGGGCCGGGGCTGGGGTCCCCTCCTCCAGCTTGCGCTGGGCTGGGGCGGCCAGGTGAGCCAGGTGCTGGCAGCGTAGCCTTTGCTTCTTCAGCTCCCTGCGCAGCCGCGCCTGCTCCTCCTCAGCGCTGGCTAGGGCCGTGTTGAAAAATGCCACCTGCGAGCGAGAGGTTCGCGTGTATTTTTTGTGGGGGAACGCTCAGGACACGTGGGAGGCACAGAGGCAGAGAGGGGCTCCCCCCAGGGGGCCCCTGTGGACACATCTGTGGCTCAAGGAGGGTGTGCTGTCTGACCATCGGCCCCCAGGGCAGACTGGGGGTAAAGAGAATTAGAGGGTGGAAACCAAGAGGTGAGCGGGGTGCCCGGGCAGGACCTCAGAGGGAGGCAGTAAGGTGGACGGCGGGGGGCAGGGAGTCAGCTCACCACGGCCTCTCGGCTGTCGAGGTCCTCGGGCACACTCAGCTTCGGCCTGGGAGCCTCCTCCCCCTCCTCCTCCCTGTCCAGTTCATCTCCTGCTGGGGCAGCGGAAGGGTCCTCAGACAACCCCACACGGGAGGCGGAGTGGCCCAGGAAGACAGCTCGGGCCCGGCTCTGCCTCGCCTCACTGTGCAATCCAGTCCCCAGAAGCAAAGGACTGGCTGTCCTAAACGTCTCTTCTAGCTCGATTCTGCGCTGCTAGGAGTCCCCCTCCTCCTTGGGCTTTGTCCTCTCCCTCTGGGCAGTTCCAATTACCTTCCCCAGGCAGAGCCATGAGGCTCAGCTGGGCCTGTAGCTGCTGGTTCTGTTGGTTGACAGCTTCCAGGAGGCCCTACGGGGCCAGGAAAGAGCGTGAGAAGAGACACAGGTTGCAGGCCTTCCCAGGCAGGGCTTAGGGGCCCAGCGTGCCAACTCACCTGGGTCTCCTGCAACTCCTGGCGGGCCATGTCAGCCTCCTCCTTGCTCTGAGCTTCCTCCTGCTGCTGCTGCTCCAGGAGCTGCGAGTGCAGCAGCACCTGCTTCTGCAGTAAATCCTTGTCGAAGACCAGCTGCTGATAGGCGGCTGCGTACTGCTGCAGGTAGTTCAGGTACTGATCCCGCTGCTGCTGCAGGCTCTGAGCCTCCTGGCTCCTCAGCTCCACCTGCAGGAAGACCCTGGGAGTGAGGGCAAGTGGTGGCTTGCTTCCAGATTCTGAGCGCATAGCCTGAGGCTGGGCAAAGACCCCTGTGCCTAATGCAGGCACTGAGCTCTGGTTGGGTAGCTCAGCTGGGTAGAGCATCACCCCAATACACCAAGGTTGCGAGTTTGATCCCTGGTCAGGGCACATATAAGTGGAACAACAAATCGATGTTTCTCTCCTCTCTTTCAAATGCATAAACTTTAAAAAAAAACTTAAACTTATTAAAAAACACACAAGGCGCTCACTGAGGGGCTCAGCTGCCTGCCCATGGCCCTGGCCTCCTCCGGCCAGGACCTCAGCGACCACCCCCCCTGGTCCAGAGACACATGCCACCTTCACCCAGGCTTGTCCCTCGTCACAACCTGCTTTCCAGGCCAACTCTAGGCCACAGACTTGTGAACATGCAGAGTGCCAACCAACACCTGCTAAGTGCACACCAAACGCCTGACACTTTACACGTGTGACTCTCATTCAGTCCTCAGTACTTCCACAGGAACATGCCGCTCTCCCTGTTAAGCTAAGGAAGCTGAGGCTTAGAGACGCGTCGTCAGCAGCGACTAGCGGGGCGGAGGCTAGGAGGCAGAGCTGACTGCAGGGAGCCGCCCTTCGTACGCCATCCACACCTCTTCCCCTCCAGTCGAGTTCGGTGCCTCAGCTGGCGATGATGGCCTACAGCGCAGGGCTACCCACCTCTAAAGGTCAGAGGGCAGCCCTGGCTGGTGTGGCTCAGTGGGCTGAGTCCCGGCCTGCGAGCTGAAAGGTCGCCAGTTGATTCCCAGTCAGGGCACATGGCTGGGTTGCAGACAAGGTCCCCAGTTGGGGGGCAATGGATCGATGTTTCTCTCGTATATCAATGTTTCTCTCCCTCCCTTCCCCTCTCTGAAAAATAAATCCTTTTTTTTAAAGATTTTATTTATTTATTTTTAGAGAGGGAAGGGAGGGAGAGAGAGAGAGAGAAACATTAATGTGCTGTTGCTGGGAGTCATGACCTGCAACCCAGGCATGTACCCTGGCTGGGAATTGAACCTGGGACACTTTGGTTCCCAGCCTGCGCTCAATCCACTGAGCTACGCCAGCCAGGGCAAAAATAAATCCTTTTTAAAAATAAATAAATGTGCCCTGGCTGGTGTAGCTCAGTGGACTGTGCGTAGGCTGCAAACCAAAGGGTTGCCAGTTCGATTCCCAGTCAGGGCACACGCCTGGGTTGCGGGCCAGGTCCCCGGTGGGGGCCACCTGACAGACAACCACACATGGATGTTTCTCTCCCTCTCTTTCTCCCTCCTCTCTCTAAAAGTAAATAAATAAAACCTCTAAAATATAAAATAAAATAAAGGTCAGGGGTAGGGGGCAACAAGTAGTCACAGGCTCTGAAGGACTCTGAGGTCACCTGTCTCCAGGCTACAGCTGCCTCTGTCCTGGCCCTGGCAGCCACTCAGCCTTGCCCAAATTCCTCCCTCCCCAGAGGCCGGGGCCGGCTCCGAGCCCTTCTCAGCGGGGGCAGGGTTACCGTCTCCTTCTGGTCCCCCAGCTTCTCCTGCAGCTGGCCCAGCTTCTTGGCCAGCTCCTTCTTGACATACTGCTCCGTCTGAAGTGTGCTGGTGAGCTCCGCATTCTCGTTGGTCTGGGCGGAGAGAAGCAATCAGTGGCCCCGCGAGGCAGCTGGAGACACCAGAGCGCAGCTCAGGGAACCGTGGAGGCGGGCAGAAAACCGCCCCTCCCCCCACATTCACCAGCGGGGGCTCTCTGGGTCACCGGATGCCTTCATAGGCTCCACGTCACGTAAGCACCATGCCACCCCATTTTAGAGGCGGGGAAATAAAGGCCCGGAGATTTGGAGGGCCTCGCCCTGCACCGAAGGCGTGGCAAGGGAGCCGGGCGGGCAGGGCTGCGCACCAGCCTGACGAAGCCGTCCTGCAGCTCGGCCAGCTGCTCCTTGAGCTCGCGGTTCTGGGAGAGTGCCCGGCTGATGGTGGTGCGGTCGCTCTGCATGTCCTCCAGGATCTGCTTGCGCATCTCCGCCTGCTCCCCCCAGCGCTCGGCCTCCTGCTCCAGCTCCAGCAGCCGCTGCCCCTGCTCCTGGTTCAGGCGGCTCAGACTCTCATTGTCCTGAATTTGGGCCCGCAGCTGCCCTGTCAGGGTCTCCAGTTCCTGCTGTAGCTGCTCCGCTCTGGCTTGTAGCCGCTGTTCCGCCTCCGAGGGCCCCGCTGGGGGCTCCTGGGGTGGGGGGACAGCTGAGAAAGGACGCACACAGTAAGGGCCTCTTGCCTCTGCAGTCTCAAAAATGCTCTTCTTGGTCCGCAGCTCCTAACTTGGCCTCCTAGCCCCAAATCTTGGCATCTTGGCTAATGATTCCTCATACTCCTATGATGTTCAGTCTTGCAAGATGCTTCCAAATGGAGTTCTTTACATTTTTTATGCTCAAGACAACTCTGGGTCACTGACAGTGCACAGTCCACCCCTTTACTGCAGATGGGGACACTGAGGCTCAGAGGGATGGCAA